CATGATCTCAGCTCACTGCAACCTCCACCTCCCAGGTTCAAATGATTCTTCTGCCTCAGCCTCCCAAGTAGCTGGGATTACAGGCACATGACACTACCCCCAGCTAATTTTTATATTTTTAGTAGAGATTGGGTTTTGCCATGTTGGCCAGGCTGGTTTTGAACTTCTAACCTCAGGTGATCCACCCACCTTGGCCTCCCAAAGTGCTGGGATTGTAGGCATGAACCACCACACCTGGCCTATTTTCCTTCTTTCTAGAGGCCAAGATTTTTTTTGAGACCGGTTCTACTCTCTTGCCCAGGCTGGAGTGTAGTGATGCAAACATGGCTCACTGGAGCCTTGACTTCCTAGGCTCAAGCAATCCTTCTGCCTCAGCCTCCCAAGTAGCTAGGACTACAGGAATGTGCCACCATGCTTGGCTAATTTTTTATTTTTTTGTAGAGACAAATTCTTTCTTTCTTTTTTTTTTTTGAGACGGAGTTTCGCTCTTGTTACCCAGGCTGGAGTGCAATGGCGCAATCTCGGCTCACTGCAACCTCTGCCTCCTGGGTTCAGGCAATTCTCCTGTCTCAGCCTCCTGAGTAGCTGGAATTACAGGCACGCACCACCATGCCCAGCTAATTTTTTGTATTTTTAGTAGAGATGGGGTTTCACCTTGTTGACCAGGATGGTCTTGATCTCTTGACCTCATGATCCACCCACCTTGGCCTCCCAAAGTGCTGGGATTACAGGCTTGAGCCACCGCGCCCGGCCTGAGACAAGTTCTTTCTATGTTGCCTAGGCTCCTGGGCTCAAGCGATCCTCTGTCTCAGTCTTCCAAAGTGCTGGGATTACAAGCCACCGTGCCTATGGTTGGCCAAGGCCACGATTTTTGTCTTTTTTGTTCAGTAGTGAATTCTCAGAATATTGTTACATAGTAGATTTTATTTTATTTTATTTTATTTTACTTGAGACAGAGTCTCGCTCTATCGCCCAGGCTAGAGTGCAGAGGTGAGATCTTGGCTCACTGCAACCTCTGCCTCACGGTTCCAGCAGTTTTCCTGCCTCAGCCTGCCAAGTAGCTGGAATTACAAGTGACTAGTTTTTGTATTTTGAGTAGAGACAGGGTTTCACCATGTTGGCCAGGCTGGTCTTGAACTCCTGACCTCGTGATTCATCCACCTCGGCCTCCCAAAGTGCTAGGATTACAGGTGTGAGCCACTGTGCCTGGCAATCTACATAGTAGATTTTCTACCTTCAATAAATATTCACTGAATGAATAAATGATTGATTTCTCCTCCTCAATCTCTTTAACTTGCTTAATACCATTTGAATAGTTAATATTTTTCATAGGAATCTCTTGTAACTAAGTAGAAAATACTTATAAAAGGGTCTTGAAAAGTGAAATAGATATCAAATTGCAAAAAAATGAAGCAAAACTGTTAAAGGTAAGTTTGGAAAATGCCTAAAGAAAGACACGTTCCTTTCAATACAATTTACTGAATTTACTCCAGCACATCAAATATTTTAATATATATGTCAGGCCGGGCGCGGTGGCTCAAGCCTGTAATCCCAGCACTTTGGGAGGCCGAGACGGGTGGATCACGAGGTCGAGAGATCGAGACCATCCTGGTCAACAGGGTGAAACCCCGTCTCTACTAAAAATACAAAAAATTAGCTGGGCATGGTGGCGCGTGCCTGTAATCCCAGTTACTCAGGAGGCTGAGGCAGAAGAATTGCCTGAACCCCGGAGGCGGAGGTTGCGGTGAGCCGAGATCGCACCATTGCGCTCCAGCCTGGGTAACAAGAGCGAAATTCCGTCTCAAAAAAAAAAAAAAAAAAAAAAAAAAAAAAAAAATATATATATATATATGTCAATGATTCATTTAGTCTGCTACCATATGATGTATTGCCTCTGTTTTAAAGTAATAGCACTTTGTATTGCAACCATCAGAGTAATAATTAATTTACTCTAATTAATTTAGGCAATAATCTTCAATGGATGTTAATATAAATGCATGAAAGCTTATTGCAGAGCAAGATATTTACACAGTCTCAAATTATCACCCCACAAATTACTAATTAAATACAAAAGGGAATTTTTGTAATTTTCTTTTATAATGGAGACATCATGTGAATATCATCTTAATCAAATAATCAGAATTAACATCATTAATAATGGGACAAACTGCCATCATGTGCCTCCTGATATGATTTACTGAGAAGGCCATAATATTGCTTAGATAGTTTTCCTGTCAAAACGTTTAAGATTTTAAACAATGAAGAAAAAAATCAACTTCAAATAGAGGGACATTGCAAAACAGTTGGCCTGTGTTCTTCAAACATGTCAGTGTTGTAAAAGTCTAACAAAGGTTGAAGAGCTGTTCTGATTAAAGGAGACTAAAGAGACATGACAATTATGCGCAATGCATGTGCTTCTATTGATCCTGAATTGAATGCAAAACAAAAAAAGCCCCCAACAACTATAAAGGACATTATTGGGACAACTGGAGACACTTGAATACAACTGTGTATTAGGTAACATTATTATGCCAATGTTAGAAATTCTGAATGTGATAATTGTATTGTGGCTATGTAGAAGAACATAATTATTCTTAGAAGAGATATGGTTAAGTATTAAGAGGTGAAGTGCCATGATGTCTGTGAATAATTTTCAGTGGTTCAGAAGAAACCTCTCAAATGGTTCACCAAAAAATACATATACAGGCTGGGTGTGGTGGCTCACACCTGTAATCCCAGCACTTTGGGAGACTGAGGCAGGCAAATCACCTGAGGTCAGGAGTTCGAGACCAGCCTGGCCAACATGGTGAAACCCCATCTCTACCAAAAATACAAAAATTAGCCAGCCATGGTGGCAGGTGCCTGTAATCCCAGCTACGAGGGAGGCTGAGGCAGGAGAATCGCTTGAACCCTGAAGGCAGAGGTTGCAGTGAGCTGAGATGGTGCCACTGCACTCCAGCCTGGGTGACAAAGCAAGACTCTGTCCCAGAAAAACAAACCAACAGGGCCAGGCACAGTGGCTCACACCTGTAATCCCAGCACTTTGGGAGGCCGAGGCAGGTGAATCACCTGAGGTCATGAGTTTGAGACCAGCCTGGCCAACACAGTGAAACTCCATCTCTATTAACAATACAAAAAAAAAAAAAAAATTAGCTGGATGTGGTGGTGGGTGCCTGTAATCCTAGCTACTCAGGAGGCTGAGGCAGGAGAATCGCTTAAACCTGAGAGGCAAAGGTTGCAGTGAGCTGAGACTGCATCATTGCACTCCAGCATGGGTAACAAGAGTGAAACTCCATTTCAAAAAAAAAAAACAAAAACAAAAAATTATATACACATACATATGCATATGAGAATGTGTATATGTGTGGAGAGGCAAAGAGCTTTTACACCTCCACATACACACACACACACACACACACATAATACATACATGAGAGAGAAAAAAATGTGGCAAATTTAACAACTGAAGAACCTAGATAAATGAGTATGTCTTGCTGTCTCCCAGGCTGGAATGCAGTGGTGCAAATTCATTGTACTAGTTTTGCAAATTCTCTCTGGTTAAAACGTTTTCTAAATAAAAAGCTTTTTAAAAAGTCTTTTTTTTTTTTTTTTTTCAAGATGGAGTCTCACTCTGTCACCCAGGCTGGAGTGCAGTAGCACAATCTTGGCTCACGGCAACCTCCGCCTCCTGGGTTCAAGAGATTCTCCTGCCTCAGCCTCCTGAGTAGCTGGGATTACAGGCCCCTGCCACTACGCCCAACTAATTTTTTGTATTTTTAGTTGAGACGGATTTCACCATGTTGACCAGGCTGGTCTTGAACTCCTGACCTTGTGATTTGCCTGCCTTGGCCTCCCAGAGTGCTGGGGCTGCAGGTGTGAGTCACCGTGCCTGGCCTAAAAGGTTTTTTAAAAAGATTTTTGACCAGGCAAGGGGGCTCACACCTGTAATCCCAGCACTTTGGGACTCCAAGGTGAGAGGATCGCTCGAGGCCAGGAATTTGAGACCAGCCTGGCCAACATGGCAAAACCCTGTCTCTACTAAAAATAAGAAAATTAGCTAGGTTTAAAAGAGTGAAAAAAAAAAAAAAAAGAAAGAAAATTAGCCAGGTTTGGTGGTGTGCGCCGTTAGTCCCAGCTACTTGGGAGACTGAGGTGGGAGCATCACCTGAAGCTGGAAGGTGGAGGTCACGGTGAGCAGAGATGGCGCCACAGCTTGTGTAACAGTGAGATCTTGTCTCGGAAAAAAAGAAAAGAAAACACTTTTAAAAAGCATTATCTTGAATTTAGATTTGTTTTGTTTGGTTCTGAGACACAGTCTCGCTCTGTCTCCCAGGCTGGAGTGCAGTAGTGTGAATTTAGGATTATTTTGATTGCTTATTCAGACACATAATGCTCAAAATTTGTTACGGTGGCAACAAACCTTTCTTTGGCTTTTCTATTTTTACTATCCTACTTTAGCTCTCTGTGTCTTTCTATTCCCTGCCATCTTTCAGAGCCATCAATAGTTATGTCACGTGCACAAACACTTTGACAAATTCTGAATATGACTAGTCTGAACTGAAATTCTTTTTCTTCAAACAGGAGACTTCTTCCATAGGGCCTCCGATAAATATATCTCATGTATATCCTGTAGAAAGATGATTTTTCTCTTTTTATGAATGGCTTCTATTGCACTGATAAGCTGCATTATTAGTTTTTATTTCCCTAGGATCTATTTCTTATTGTCCTCCTATAGTCCTTTAGCCCTAGACCAAAGAAAAGCCGAAAGTACTGCTGAATATGGTTGAAGTATTGCTTTATTCTGTAAAGACCTAGAGAAAAATAGATTCTGGATACCGTGATATCTGAATTATGAAGTCATATATACTGTGCAATAAAGTGATTTGTGATATATTTGTGCCCACATAAAGACTAATAATTTTGAAATTATTTTCTATTCAACACTGTAACCGTCTTTATGTTAACCTCTGTGAAATAAAAAGTAGAATATTGGGGCTTACGTCATAGTTGCTCCTGGATCAGCAGTCATTTGATTGGTCACAAAAATAGCCACATTATATTCTGCATCAAGAGATAAAATTTAAAAACTATGAGAAGGGCAATATAATATTTAAAAGTTCACTGTTTAGATTTCAGAGTTTAGAAATACTGCATCATGAATTTAACAAACAAGATCATATTCCTGTTTTTCACTGACAACAGAAATTATTTAAGTTGTTTAGGTTAGAATAAGTATTATTGGTTTAAAGAAAGAGTTGTATTCCCAAGAAGGTAATTTTATTTTTAAAAAAAAACACTGCCTTCTGACATTATATTCCAAGCTTCTCTGCAAAGTATACTTGGCAAACATAGTCACAGATGCCATTTTATTTTAAAGATGTACCTTCTGAGATTTTTTGGAGTCGTGATAACATCTGGGCCAATTTTTGCTGCCGTTCAGCCAACTCCCCACGGCCACTGAAATCCACTCGAAAAAGTGCCATTATTGAGTCGATAATCTACACAGGATTAATGTAAAAATAAACACGCATTCGGAAATTGAAGGAAGAAGTTATTTGAATAGAGATCAATAGAAGAAAAATATTATGCTAACTAGCTCTGTGAAAGCAATATTTAAAAGCTTGAACCAACCAATAGCTTGAAGATGCCAGGTTCCTCATGGAACTTTGCTGCTACATAATCAAGTAGCTCCATCTGATGTTCACCTGGTGGGAAATGCAGTGAGAAAATGTTATAAAATTTGAAAGAAGCAGAGGCTAAGATCATTCATGTTCTTGGGAGCCAGGCAAAAGGGACTCCTGGAAGGATTCACTTAATTATGAGTTTATTAAACATTATTGCAGCCAGGTGCAGTGGCTCATACTTGGAATCCCAGCACTTTGGGAGGCGGAGGTGGGTGGATCACCTGAGGTCAGGAGTTTGGACCAGCCTGGCCAATATGGCGAAACCCTGTCTCTACTAAAAATACAAAAAATTAGCCCGGTGTGGTGGTGTGTGCCTGTAATCCCAACAACTCCGGAGGCTGAGGCAGGATAATTGCGTGAACCCGCGAGGCGGAGTTTGCAGTGGGCTGAGATTGGCCATTGCAATCCAGCCCCGGACCAGTGAGAGACTCCGTCTCAAAAAAAAAAAAAAACCACACACACACACACACACACACACACACACACAAATTAGCTGGCTGTGGTGGCTTGTGCCTGTAATCCCAGCTACTTGGGAGGCTGAGGCAGGAGAATTGCTTGAACCTGGGAGGTGGAGGTTGCAGTGAGCAGAGATTGCACCACTGCACTCCAACCTGGGTGACAGCAAGATTCCGTCTCAAAAAAAAGAGTTATTGCATATTCTGCCTTAGCATATATACCAAATGCTACATTATCCAAAAAGAATGTTACTTTTCATTTTAAAGACAAAGAATAATAAATAATTTCAGGGCACTTTATTATCTAAGGACTTACCTGATGATAAAATTTATAGACTAAATTAATTTGGAGAAAAATAAAATAGAAAAAAGTAACAAAATGTCGTATCACTCAAGTAGTAAATTAGTGCTGCCAACCTTACATTGACCCAAGCATCCCACTGCATGGGGCTCTTACTAGTATATGCACGTGCATAAAGTACGTTGTCCAGTACTGCATCATGGTCTACATTGAAGCGATCAGCAATGTCCCGAAGGCGATCTGGACGGCTGGAGTATGCCAAGATTAAGGATCCAATAAATGAATTCTAAAAAAGTTTAGACAACCACTACAAAAGAATATCTTACGTAAATTAACATAGAAGCCAAACAATGTACCTGTGAACATAATCTAGAGGATGCTTGCAACCAATTAAAGTCTAGATTTGTTTCTTCATAAGTGCCTCACTTTACCATAGGTAGTGATAATGGTCACAGAAATGTGGGGCAGTAATAGCTATTAAATTATCAAATCTTTTTTTTTTTTTTTTTTTTTTTTTTTTGAGACGGAGTTCCGCTCTTGTTACCCAGGCTGGAGTGCAATGGCGCGATCTCGGCTCTCTGCCTCCTGGGCTCAGGCAATTCTCCAGCCTCAGCCTCCTGAGTAGCTGGGATTACAGGCAAGCGCCACCATGCCCAGCTACTTTTTTGTGTTTTTAGTAGAGACAGGGTTTCACCATGTTGACCAGGATGGTCTCGATCTCTCGACCTCGTGATCCACCCGCCTCGGCCTCCCAAAGTGCTGGGATTACCACCACGCCCGGCCCTTAAATTATCAAATCTTTACAATAACCTTGGAAGCAAGTTTTTATGGCCTATTTTACATTTTACAACAGAGGACACTGGTAAACAGAGATTAGGCAAATGACTTGAGTTTATGCAGCAAACCAGTTACAAGAAAAAAACTAGAAACTAAGCTTTGTGAGTCCTTTTGTTCTCAGATCTATAAAAATAGATCTGTAATAGATAATATCACTGAATTATAATTCAGTCACTGCAAAGTGAATTAATTTACTCTCTTCATAACCCTCATCTGTTCAATATGAAATAGTTTATTATATAATTAATCATGTGTTGTTAACAAATGATAAAATTGACTACATGAACCAAAGGGTCAAAATGATAACTTCAAGGGTCCAGAAGAGAAATATCAATCCAAGCTTTTTTGTTTGTATAGGTTTTCTTTTTCTTTTCAAATCTTACCCAGAAAATATAGAGTTTAAAATCTACCTTCAGGCCGGGCACGGTGGCTCACGCCTGTAATCCCAGCACTTTGGGAGGCCAAGGCGGGTGGATCACAAGGTCAAGAGATCGAGACCATCCTGGTCAACATGGTAAAACTCCGTCTCTACTAAAAATACAAAAAATTAGCTGGGCATGGTGTCGTGTGCCTGTAATCCCAGCTACTCAGGAGGCTGAGGCAGGAGAATTGCCTGAACCCAGGAGGCAGAGGTTGCGGTGAGCTGAGATCGCACCATTGCACTCCAGCCTGGGTAACAAGAGCGAAACTCCGTCTTAGAAAAAAATAATAATAAATCTACCTTCTTCTAAAGGAATTGTTAGCTTTTTTTTGAGACAGAGTCTTGCTCTGTTGCCCAGGCTGGAGTGCAGTGGCATGATCTCAGCTCACTGCAACCTTTGCCTCCCAGGTTCAAACGGTTCTCCCCCTCCAGTCTCCTGAGTAGCTGGAATTATAGGCGCGAGACACCATACCCAGCTTATTTATTTTTTTTTTTCGAGACGGAGTTTTGCTCTTGTTGCCCAGGCTGGAGTGCCATGGTGCGATCTCGGCTCACCGCAACCTCCGCCTCCTGGGTTCAGGCAATTCTCCTGCCTCAGCCTCCTGAGTAGCTGGGCACGCGCCACCATGCCCAGCTAATTTTTTGTATTTTTAGTAGAGACGGGGTTTCACCATGTTGACCAGGATGGTCTCGATCTCTTGACCTCGTGATCCACCCACCTCGGCCTCCCAAAGTGTTGGGATTACAGGCGTGAGCCACCGCGCCCGGCCCCCCCAGCTTATTTTTGTATTTTTAGTGGACACGTTTTCGCCATGTTGGCCAGGCTGGTCTCGAACTCCCGACCTCAAATGATCTGCCTGCCTCAGCCTCCCAAAGTGTTAGGATTACAGGCATGAGCCACCATGCCTGGCCAGGAGTTGTTAGCTTTCTGAAATTAACAAATTCATAGGTAAAAAAACCAACCAACAAACAAACAGGTTTTTTTGGGAGTCTGAACAAAATCCCCAGGTCTCCGCAAACAAGTTTATTGGGGGTCTGAAGGAACTCTCCAAACCTCCATGATTTAGCAGGCGATAAGATAAGGGTAATCACCCCAGCACCTGGACCCATTTAGATTAAGGAAATTTACTGGCCAGGCGCGATGGCTCACGCCTGTAATCCCAGCACTTTGGGAGGCCGAGGTGGGTGGATCACGAGGTCAAGAGATCGAGACCATCCTGGTCAACATGGTGAAACCCCGTCTCTACTAAAAATACAAAAAAAATCAGCTGGGCATGGTGGCGCGTGCCTGTAATCCCAGCTACTCAGGAGGCTGAGGCAGGAGAATTGCCTGAACCCAGGAGGCGGAGGTTGCGGTGAGCCGAGATTGCGCCATTGCACTCCAGCCTGGGTAACAAGAGTGAAACTCCGTCTCAAAAAAAAAAAAAAAAAAAAAAGGAAATTTACTGAGGCTCCAGAGGAAGGTCTTTAGGACTCTGATCTTAGTTACAGATTAAAAGAAGTTAATCATTTATTTCTTTTTTTAAAAAAATTTATTTTATATATTTTTTGAGACGGAGTCTTGCTCTGTTGCCCAGGCTGGAGTGCAATGGCGTGATCTCGGCTCACCGCAACCTCCGCCTCCTCGGTTCAGGCAATTCTCCTGCCTCAGTATTGTGAGTAGCTGAGACTACAGGCATGTGCCACTATGACTGGCTAATTTTTGTATTTTTAATCCTGGTGAGCCTGGGCAACATGGTGAGACCCTCTCTCTACCAAAAAAATACAAAAATTAGCTAGGCATGATGGCACGCACCTGTAGTCCCAGTTACTTGGGAGGCTGAAGTGGAAGGATCACTTGAGTCCTGGATGTCGAGGCTACAGTGACCCATGATCGTGTCACTACATTACAGCCTGGGTGACAGAGCAAGACCCTCTCTCGAAAACAAAACAAAATAAAAAAAATTTAAATGAAAAACTTGGGCTTATGCTGAAGGGAAGTTCAGATCAATTACAAATATTTATTAACCAATTACCATATGGAATTGATTACCATATTAACCAATTACCAAGGCGAATCATTATGGAGGATATAAGGAGTCATAAGACAACCTATGCCCTAGGTAAATTTAAAACATAATTAAGAAGGCAAAACATAAACATATAAAAATAAAAATATCAACAGACAGCAGTATAAGTGTGAAACACTGAAAGAATGAGAACAATCAGATGTGATCCTTGCCACAGTGCCCCGCACTCCCACCCAGCTGTTCTTTTCCACTCTCTCTTGCATATGACTTAGCTCCTAACTATTCTGTCGTTCTTGATAAAATCCAAATTGCCCAAACAGTGGCTGCTAATCTGCAAGAACAATTCTTCCCTGAGATGAGAATCATCCGTAATCAATTGTTTCTGAAACCAGCTGAACTCCAGCTTTGGCCCCCTTGTTAAAGCCCTATACAGCATTTCACCCTCCTTCCCCAAAAGGCTGTTTCAGTCTTCTCATGCCTGGCATTTCCAAATAAAGACTTCTGCAAACAGTTCTCTGTTTGGTTTTCTAAGTGAGTATTTTAGATAGTAAATTCTATCATAGGTCAAGAAGGACGAGATTTTCTAAATTTAGTAATTAGGGAAGATTAGATAAAGCCTGCATTGAAATGAGAGCCTTAAATGATTTGTGTGATTCAGAAAGACTGTGAGATGGGGACAGAAGAAGCAAATACCCAAGAAGATAGAAATATACAATGCAAATTTCTCTGTGACTAGTCAAATTAACAGCCAAGAGTGAGAGCAAAATAAAGGCACTTTTGGATACACTAAGGTTCAAAGTTAGCCACCTGGATTACATTTATGAAAGAAATAAGTATTCCAGCAAAACAAAAATACAGAAAAGAAAACATTTGGAACGTTAGAAACTATAATGAACAAAAAAAAAAATTTTTTTTTTTTTTTTTTTTTTTGAGAATGAGTTTTGCTCTTGTAGCCCAGACTGGCGTGCAATGGCCAGATTTTGGCTCACTGCAATCTCTGCCTCCGGGGTTCAAGCAATTCTCCTGCCTCAGCCTCCTGAGTAGCTGGGATTACAGATGCCTGCCCCCGACCACGCCTGGCTAGTTTTTTGTATTTTTAGTAGAGACTGGGTTTCACCATGTTGGCTAAGCTGGTCTTAAACTCCTGACCTCAGAGGATCCACCCTTCTCAGCCTCCCAGAGTGCTGGGATTACAGGTGTGAGCCACCGCACCCAGCCCTACAAAAGTCTTTTTAGGTAAATCTAAATAATTGCGGATGTACAATGTTTTTAGATTTTTTTTTTTTTTTTTTTTTTTTGCAGAGACGGTCTTGCTATGTTGCCCAAGCTACTCATGAACTCCTGGGCTCAAATGATCCTCCTGCCTCAGCCTTTCAAGTAGCTGGAATTCATAGCCACAACACCTAGCTAATTTAAATTTTTTTTTTTTTTTTGAGACGGAGTTTCGCTCTTGTTACCCAGGCTGGAGTGCAATGGCGCGATCTCGGCTCACCGCAACCTCCGCCTGCTGGGTTCAGGCAATTCTCCTGCCTCAGCCTCCTGAGTAGCTGGGATTACAGGCACGCACCGCCATGCCCAGCTAATTTTTTTGTATTTTTAGTAGAGACGGGGTTTCACCATCTTGACCAGGATGGTCTCGATCTCTTGACCTCGTGATCCACCCACCTCAGCCTCCCAAAGTGCTGGGATTACAGGCTTGAGCCACCGCGCCCGGCTTAAAATTTTTTTCATAGAAACACTATGTTGCTCAGGCTGGTCTTGAACTCCTGGCCTCAAGTGATCCTCCTGTCTTGGTGCCCCGAAGTGCTGGGATTACTGGAGTGAGACCAGACATATGTTAAAATTTTGATAACAAAGCATATTTACAGGCAATGGAATGGACTAAAACAGATTCATCTCTTTGCCACTAATAATGACAATGGTAAGTAATGAGCTTGGAGAGGCAGGCTGGGGCTTCACTGTGAATGGCCTTACAAACATGTGCAGGTCTTTGTTGTTGTTAAAAAGAATTACATCTGAATACCTTCTCAAACTAGAATAGTTGATCTTCCTTTCATCGGTCAATTTCATACTGCCTCCCTCCCTTATTTCGTGTTTATTGTTTATTTATTTATTGAGACGGAATCTTGTTGTCACCCAGGCTGGAGTGCAATGGCAGGATCTTGGCTCATGGCAGCCTCCGACTCCCAGGCTGAAGAAATTATCCTGCCTTAGCCTCCCAAGCAGCTGGGATTACAGGCACCCACCAACATGCCTGGCAAAATTTTGTATTTTTAGTAGAGATGGGGTTTCACCATGTTGGCCAGGCTGGTCTTGAACTCCTGACCTCATGATCCACCCACCTCAGCCTCCCAAAGTACTGGGACTATAGGCATGAGCTACTGCGCCTGGCCCCTTTTTGTTTATTTACAAAAAGCTTCCATCACCTCACCCTATAGCACATGTTTGATTGAATTCCTAATTTTGAACTTTAGTGATCTTTCTCAGGCTTCACCCTCTAAATCTGTGTGTAACATTGCTGACTATATTTTTTCATCTTGAAACTTTCCTTTTGCTTGACTTTTCCTCTGTCTCTGGGTTCCAGATTTCCAGATTTCCTTCTACTTCCTCTGTCTCTGGGTTCCTCATTTTAGTCCTCTTCCTAAATATAAACATACCTCAAATTTATGTTCTCAGTTCTCTCTTCTCTCTCTACAAGTTCTCTTTCCCACTTGGATAATTCATCGATATCTCTGGCCCTACACCTTTCTCAAGCTCAATTCAATATTTCCAACTGCTACCTGGATGTCCTCATGTACATCATATTCAATACATTAAAATGAAGGCTGGGCACAATGGCTCATGCCTGTAATCCCAGTACTTTTTTAGGCCAAGGTAGGCAGATTGCTTGAGCCCAGGAGTCGGAGATCAGCCTGGGCAACATGGCAAAACCTGGTCTCCATGAAAAATTAAAAAAATTAGCCAGGCATGGTGGTATGGGTCTGTAGTTCCAGCTACTCAGGAGGCTGAGGTGGGAAGATCACTCAACCCTGGGAGTTCAAGTCTGCAGTGAGTGTAATTGGGCCACTGCACTCCAGCCTGGGCAACAGAGTGAGATCTTGTTTCAGAAAAAGACAAAACAATTAGGCTGTGCGTGGTGGCTCACAACTGTAATTCCAGCATTTTGGGAGGCCAAGGTGGGTGGATCACTTGAGGTCAGGAGTTCAAGACCAGCCTGGCCAACATGATGAAACCCTGTCTCTACTAAAAATACAAAAAATTAGCCAGGCGTGATGATGCAGTTTTGTAATCTCAGCTACTTGGGAGAGGCTGAGGCTTGAGTATAGCTTGAACCCGGGAGGCGGAGGTTGCAGTGTGTTGGGACCCTATCACTGCATTCCAGCCTGGGCGATGGAGAAAGACTCTGTCTCAAAAAAAAAAAAAGTAAAACTCGTACATTAAAATGAAACATCACCTTTTCTCTGAAACATGATCTTTCCAGTTCTATTGTTAGCATTGCAGCACTATTCTCCCACTATCTAGACAAAAAATCTGAGTGGCTTATCAAACCTCTCTTTCCTTTGTCTACCAAATACAGCCATCAAGTCCTATCAATTTTCCTCTCTAATATTTTCCTTTTCTTTTTGTTCTTGACACTTCCAACCTAGATCAAGTTCTCACGACTTGCCTAGAATATTGCTAAAGTATCCAATTTACATCCACTATCTTGTTTGAAAGCCTTTCATGTCTAACATCCCAATCATCTTTCTAGCTCATATCCTGGAATACCTTACACTTGAATTAAACTGCAATTCTTTCAGGTTCTGCCTGTTTTCCTTATGAACTTTTGCCCTCTTCATACCTTTCCCTTTATTTGGAACCATGACTTTCAGTGAGTCAATAATCTTCACACCTGTAATCCCAGCATTTTGGGAGGCCAAGGCAGGTGGATCACCTGAGGTCAGGAATTTGAGACCAGCCTGGTTAACATGGCGAAACCTTATCTCTACTAAAAATACAAAAATATTAGCCAGATGTGGTGGCACATGCCTGTAATCCCAGCTACTCAGAAGGCTAAGGCAGGAGAATCACTTGAATAGATGAAGGTTGCAGTGAGCTGAGTTCTCCCTACTGCACTCCAGCCTGGGCAACTGAGCAACAGAGCAAGACTCTCTCTCTCTCCTTTTTTTTTTTTTTTTAAGTTGCAATACCTCCTGAGCAGAGACTCTGTCTCAAAAACAAAAACAAACAAACAAAAAAAACTTCTTTCTATTAAGCAAAATATTTAGAGAAGAGGATTAAAAATGAAGACCATGTGATTTTCTCTCATGTATTTGTTTTGTCTCATAAACTCATATGAAGAAGTGAAATCTTATTAAAGAAAAAGTGATTTGAGAACTTAACCAGTAATTGTTTTCCCTTTGGCTTGTCTCATTATTGCTGGTTTATGGGATGACTACAAAGATGGTATATCTCAGACAAACTCTTTCTTGGTAACATTCCTATATCACACTATTACTTTAGCAACTTTAATTAAAAAGGTTACAAAGTATTTTCTGTATCAATGAAGATGATCTTTCCTCCTGGGTAGTCGCCAGCTCCTGGAAGTTGAGCTGTCACTAGGAAGCATATAAAAATTAATATTAATAGGAGTGAATAAACTTTGTACAAATGACTATATAAATAAACATGGAATCTCCTGTTGCAACTCTCTAATACATTTTGCAGAGTCATTATCCTTTCGTTTCTAAACAACATGTTATATTTTCTTTTTCTTTTTTTTTTTTTTTTTTTGAGACGGAGTTTCGCTCTTGTTACCCAGGCTGGAGTGCAATGGCGCGATCTCGGCTCTCTGCCTCCTGGGCTCAGGCAATTCTCCAGCCTCAGCCTCCTGAGTAGCTGGGATTATAGGCACGCGCCACCACGCCCAGCTAATTTTTTGTATTTTTAGTAGAGACGGGGTTTCACCATGTTGACCAGGATGGTCTCGATCTCTTGACCTTGTGATCCACCTGCCTCAGCCTCCCAAAGTGCTGGGATTACAGGCGTCAGCCACCACGCCCGGCCCCAGAACCCCTTTCTTAACCACTTTGCCAAGTTCCTTCCCCATAGGTCAAAGAAATGCACAGTAGTGCCTTATGGAAAAGGAGATCTCTTTACTTATTTTGTTAAAAACAATTTTTTTTTTAAGTCTCTCTTAGGGCCAACCTTAAGCAATGAAAAGTGAAAGATTCTAGCACCCCATAGATTTTGTGTCACTCTTCTAAAAAAAGATATAGAAAAGATGGAATGAGAAAAATTGAGACAGTGGACTCCTCACCGACACATTCATAGACCCATTTAATTTCTATTTCTACTCAGGTGTTCATAGTCCAGCACATACATCACCTCAAATATGACACATTTCAAAGACCACCTATATAACCATGGGCAGTTTACTTAATCTGCCTGTGTTTTAGTTTCCTTGCAAGCCTGTTCAGATTATATGAGATTATTTAGAGTATCAAGCACATAGTAGATGTTTGATAAAAAATAGTTATGATTATTATTGTTATTGTTGTTATATATCCTTACCACAGAGGGTATGAGAGAGCTGGGTTTTTCCAGTACGAAATTCTGTGAAACACATAAAAAAAGATTATAAAAATGCATAATTTTTAGATATTTTCATAAAGAATAAAACATGGCCTCAGAATATTACTGTTTTCTTTTCTTTTCCAACTGTCAAATCTTACTTATAAAGTATCCTGGGTGTTATTTTTTGTTTTGAGATGAAGTCTCGCTCTGTTGTTGAGGCTAGAGTGCAATGGCGTGATCTCAAATCACTGCAACTTCTGCCTCCCGGGTTCAAATGATTCTCCTGATTCAGCCTCCCAAGTAGCTGGGATTACAGGCGCTCACCACGATGCCTGGCTAATTTTTGTATTTTTAGTAGAGACAGGTTTCACCATGTTGGGCAGGCTGGTCTCAAACTCCTGATCTCAGGTGATCTGCCTGAATGCTAGGATTAGAGGAATGAGCCACCACGCCTGGCCTTATTTGTTTAATATAAATTAATTTAAACCAAGTTTTCCTTAGGAACAGTCATATAAATGAAAGTTAAGACCCTACTACATGGGGTGAAGCTTAGTGGCTCACACCTGTAATCCCAGCCCTTTGGGAGGCTGAGATGGGTGGATCACTTGAGGTCAGGAGTTCAAGACTAGCATAGGAAACATGGCAAAACCCTATCTCTACCAAAAATGCAAAAATTAGCCGGGCGCAGTGGCCTGTAATCCTAACACTTTGGGAGGCCGAGTTGGGCGGATTGCCTGAGCTCAGGAGTTCAAGACCAGCCTGGGTTACACAGTGAAAACCCCCGTCTTTGCTAAAACACAAAAAAATTAGTTGGGTGTGGTGGCATGTGCCTGTAGTCCCAGCTACTTGGGAGGCTGAGGCAGGAGAATTGCTTGAACCTGGCAGGTGGAGGTTGCAGTGAGCCAAGATTGCACCATTGGACTCCAGCCTGGGCAACCAAATGAGACTCCATCTTCCTGCCTTCCCCACAACCCTCCCCCTCCCACAATAAAACAAGAATTAGCCGGGTGTGGTGTCAGGTGCCTGTAATCCCAGCTACTTGAGAGGCGAAGGCAGAATTGCTTGAACCTGGGAGGCAGGGATTGCAGTGAGCCAAGACGGCACCACTGCCCTCCAGCCTAGGAGACAGAGTGAGACTCTATCTCAAAACAAAAACAAAAACAAACAACCCTACCACAGGAAAGAAAGCCTGGGGCTTTCCTACTGAACTTAGGTCCTAACAGGGGAGCTGAAGTAGTCTCAAATTGGTGCCATCCCCTAGCTACCAGCAAAAGCAAATTCTTTCTGGAGGAAAACTTTCCTACTTACCAATCTAGGTCCATTGAACTCTCATAGATTAAAATCAAACAATAAGCTCAGAAACACCAATAAATACAGGAGAAGGTAAGCCACTAAGATTGAGTCAACAGAAATAATGAGAACCAGATTTAGTGCCCAAGTCAACAGGAAAAAAACAATAAAAAACAGATTTAGTTCTCCAAGGAGAGCAAATACTGGATTTGTCAGATATGATACACTCTGTAGCTATGCATGAATTGCTTTTTAAAAATAGAGGCTAGGACAGGTACAGTGGCTCATGCCTGTAATCCCAGCATTTTGGGAGGTCGAGGCAGGAGGACTGCTTGAGTCCAGGAGTTTGAGACCATCCTGAGCAACATAGCAAGACCCAGTATCTATTATTAAAAAAAAAAAAAAAAAAAGAGGACATAATCAGGGAAGAGAGAATCTAATCTCTATGTTCATGGAACATTGATTGCCTAGAAATAAAATCAGCCTTATTCTTCAATTACCTTTTAAACAAATATGTGAAAAAAAATCTATTATCTTCTATAGAAAAAAAAAAAAAAAGATAAAAAGTGGCCGGCATGGTGGCTCACACCTGTAATCCCAGCACTTTGGGAGGCTGAGGCAGGCGAATCACGAGGTCAAGAGATCAAGACCATCCTGGCCAACATGATAAATCCCTGTCTCTACTAAAAATACAAAAATTAGCTGGGTGTGGTGGCATGTGCCTGTAGTCCTAGCTACTCAGGAGGCAGAAGAATTGCTTGAATACGGGAGGTGGAAGTTGTAGTGAGCCAAGATCGCACCACTGCACTCCAGCCTGGTGACACAGCAAGACTCTGTCTCAAAAAAAAAAAAGATGAAAAGTGTCGATAAGACCCATCTGTTAATGTTGGTATATATTTTTGTTACAGTACAGAATGATCTCATGATAATTGAGATTTTTAAGTTCCAAAATAGGTACAATTTATTATTGGTTGTTTATTTAATTATATGTGTATGTATACACATAGATGTGTGTGTGGGTGTATAAAATTTCATTTAACAAAATATTAAGGTTCTACCTACCTCCAAAAGCTTCTGTAATTGCCATGCTTTCAATTCCACCTCCTAGCAACTTACTGGAAATAGAAAGAAAGCATTAGTAACAGGAACAGAAATAGAAAATATTAAGGGAGGAGAAAGTATTCACATCATTACTATCATATCTATCTGTCTATCTAACCTATCATCTATCTATCTATCTACAGAACATGAACAGGAATTCTTGGCTGAACAAATAGCACTTGTGCAGATCACAGGTTCTATTACGTATGGGGAAGTGGATCAGCAAAACGAATGATAAGCTCTGCCATTCTTATTTCAATAATAAATAGGGCCTGGGAATACTGCATGTTGTAGGCTTTAAAATAACAAAAAATTCTTTTAAGAAAAAAAATTAAAAATAGTAAATGGGTTAGCAAGGCTTTATGTCTTATTAATCTTTAGAATCAAATTGGAGTTACAGATCATCTTAACTATTATTATATATTTATTTCAAGAGAGAGCCTCACTCTGTTGCCTAGGCTAGAGTGCAGTGGCGTGATCTTGGTTCACTGTAACCTCTGCCTACCAGGTTCAAGAGATTTTTTTTTTCTTTTTTTTTTTGAGACGGAGTTTCGCTCTTGTTACGCAGGCTGGAGTGCAATGGCACTATCTCGGCTCACCACAACCTCCGCCTCCTGGGTTCAGGCAATTCTCTTGCCTCAGCCTCCTGAGTAGCTGGGATTACAGGCACGTGCCACCATGCCCAGCTAATTTTTTGTATTTTTAGTAGAGACAGGGTTTCACCATGTTGACCAGGTTGGTCTCGATCTCTCGACCTCGTGATCCACCCGCCTCGGCCTCCCAAAGTGCTGGGATTACAGGCTTGAGCCACCGCGCCCGGCCTTGGGTCTGAATTTCTAGTAAGACATTTAATCTTGCTCCTCCAAGCAGTCTGGAATTTGTTTCAGTTTGCATTTTGAAAAAGAAGAAGAAAGGCCGGGCGCGGTGGCTCACGCCTATAATCCCAGCACTTTGGGTGGATCACGAGGTCAAAAGATCGAGACCATCCTGGTCAACATGGTGAAACCCCGTCTCTACTAAAAGTACAAAAAATTAGCTGGGCATGGTGGCACGTGCCTGTAATCCCAGCTACTCAGGAGGCTGAGACAGGAGAATTGCTTGAACCCAGGAGGCAGAGGTTGCGGTGAGCCGAGATCGCGCCATTGCACTCCAGCCTGGGTAACAAGAGTGAAACTCCATCTCAAAAAAAGAAAAAAGAAAAAGAAGAAGAAAAAAACCCCCCAAACTTCAAATGAAGAAGCTACTTCTACTACTTATAGTAGAAATAACCAGAAAGAGGAAAAGAAACATGACATTCCAAAGATTGTGCTTAGTGGTTATAAAGAATGTAAGATACACACTCAAATTCCTGGCTCCCGGTGGTGATATGGAAAACCATTTTCCTCTTTTCACTATATTCAAATGCAGTCAAGAATCCTGGTTCCTACAGAAAGATAAAAGGAAATGTTCAGAAAGGGTTTAAGATGATTTTTTTTTTCAAATGTTTCCCAAAATAATATATTCGATTATTAAGGTCATCATTTGATATAAGCTATAATTCAGTTGTCCTTGGAGGCAGTACAAGATCATGGTTAGGAACACAGGCTTTAGAGCTGCCCTTTCTAGGGCAAATCATGTTTCTAATACTTATGAGTTGTATGATATGGAGTAAACTACTTAATCTTGCTGTATTTAAGCTTCCTCATAGGGATCAAACAGGTATAACAGTGTTTCTTCAATGAGTAGCTGTGGAAATTAAATGATATAGATGTATGTATATATATATCTTTTTTTTTTTTTTGAGAACGGGTCTCGTTCTGTTGCCCAGGCTGGAGTGCAGTAGTGTGATCTTGGATCACTACCATCTCTGCCTCCCCAGTTCAAGCGATTCTCTTGCCTTAGCCTCCTGAGTAGCTGGAATTACAGGTGTCTTCCACCACACCCAGCTAATTTTTGTATTTTTAGTAGAGATGGGGTTTCACCATATTGGCCAGGCTGCTTGAACTCCTGACCCCAGGTGATCCACCCACCTTGGCCTCCCAAAGTGCTGGGATTACAGGTGTGAGCCACCACGTCCAGCCAAATGAGATACATTTATAGCATAAAGCAGATCGTATTTTACTAAACAATTCATTTTTTTTTTCATTCAACAGCATCATTTTTTGTTTGTTTGTTTTTGAGATGGAGTCTCGTTCTGTCACCAGACTGGAGTGCAGTGGTGTGATCTGGGCTTACTGCAACCACCAACTCATGGCTTCAAGCAGCAATTCTCCTGCCTCAGCCTCCAGAGTAGCTGGGACTACAGGCGTATGCCACCACGCCTGGCTAATTTTTGTATTTTTAGTAGAGATGGGGTTTCACCATGTTGGTCAGGATGGTCTCAATCTCTTGACCTTGTGATCCACCTGCCTCAGCCGCCCAAAGTGCTGGGATTACAGGCGTGAGCCACTGCGTCATCATTCAGAGCATCATTTTTTTTTTTTTTTCTCCAGCCGTAGAAGTTTCAAGGAACACAGAAATTTCAGTTTTCATTATTCTTGAGACAATATTTTTCACATGGTAGATATACTACTTATTGACTGATTAAAAAGGTACAGCTGATGCAGTGGAGGACCAGTGAAATGGGCCCCAATGCAGTTCTAATGTGTTCCCCTCCGTTGTTTTATACTATGACTGTGGTTCTCAAACTTTGGAGAACTTGGAGAATGGGGACAGGCAAGCCCAGATCCTATCCTACTTCAGTGAGCCTGGGCCTCTGTTTTCTTTATTAGCCACACCTAGGTGATTCTGATACACATCAATGTTTGGAACCACCATACTGTGCAATTAACTTAACTTTCTTTCTCTCCTCTCTCTCTTTCTGTCTCTATCTCTCTCTTAATCTCTTTCTCTATCTTTAACAATAAACAACTGGATGCAGTGACTCACACCTGTAATCTCAGCACTTTGAGAGGCTGAGGTGGGAGGACTGTTTGATGCCAGGAGTTTTTAGAGATACCTCATCTCTAAAAAAAACTTTTAAAAATTAGCTGGACATGGTACCATGTGCCTGTAGTCCCAGCCATTCTGGAGGCTGAGGTGGGAGGATCACTTGAGCCTAGGAGCTCAAGGCCACAGTGATCTATGATTGAGCCACTGTACCCCAGCCTGGGTGACAGAGTGAGAACTTGTCTCAAAGTAAATGAATAAATAAATCTGGGCACAGTGACACATTCCTGTAGTCGGATGTACTTCAGAAGCAGAGGTGGGAGAATCACTTGAACCTAGGAGTTCAAACCCAGACTGGGCAACGTAGTGAGATACTCTTCTTTTTTCTTCTTTTTGAGACAGAGTTTTGGTGTATTGCCCAGGCTGGAGTGCAGTGGCATGATATCAGCTCACTGCAACTTCCGCCTCCCAGGTTCAAGTGATTCTCCTGCCTCAGCCCCCTGAGTAGCTGGGACTATAGGTGCCTGTGACCATGCCTGACTAATTTTTGTATTTTTAGTAGAGATGGGGTTTCACTATGTTGGCCAGGCTGGTCTTGAACTTCTGACCTCATGATCTGCCTGCCTCGGCCTCCCAAAGTGCTGGGATTACAGGTGTAAGCCACTGTACCCAGCCTGATACCCTTCTTAAAAAATAAAAATAAAAAATAATTAAACAGTTTAAGCTACGAAAGGAGAAGATTCTAGGTGCAGTAGTGGGTTCTTGATAAGGAGAGGGGTTCTTTGGTAATGAGATTTAATTTCCAAAGAAAGTAAGTCTAATGCCTTAGAGCAGTTTCCCAAACCCTGGGTATTGCTCAAGGGCTTTCTTAAACACCTTGGCAGTTGTGGAATTGACTTGTGGGCACACCACTTGAGTGTACTCAGAAGCTACAGCAACTGAGCTGGGTTCAGAATAATTCAGTTCAGTTGGGTCCTCTCCAGGTTCAGGATCACACTGCCACTTCCATCACTCTCATGCCATGACCACCTCTGGAGAAGGAAACCAAATGGCTGTCGGTGAAGAGCTTCTCAGACTCATTGAGAATGAGACCCTTATATACTGATAGAGAAATGGAGAGGCCAGCTATTAAATGAAGAGGAAGACTTAGTGATTACCTTTTTTTCCTTTTCTATTTCCAGAGGTCATACCTCTAGGTTTCCAAATGCTCTACATAAAAGCTTGGGTCAAAGGTACATATGCTTTTGTCTGGTAGCCTGGCAGTTGCATGAGTCCTGCTAGAAAATAGTAAGGTAGGAGGTGGGATTTGATTCCAGAATTGGGGCTCAGACACCAGACCAAATTGAGAACTAGCTAAAACAGGGTTCAGAGCAGAAGCAGCTTTCCATAAGGCATGCCTACCAGTGTGCCATGTCAGTTTACCATTGCTATGGAAACACCTAGAAATTACTGCTGCTTTCCATGGCGATGACACAATGATCCAGAAATTACCACTCTTTTCCTAGAAATTTCTGCATCAACTGCCCCTTAATTTGCATTTAATTAAAAGTGGGTATAACTATAATGGCAAAACTGCCTCTGAGCTGCTACTTTTGGGCATACTGCCTATGGGGTAGCCCTGCTCTGCAAGGAGCAGTACCTCTGTGGCTGCTGTACTAGGCTGCTTCAATAAAAGTTGTTGTCCAATACCACTGGCTCACCTTTGAATTCTTTCTTGGGCAAAGCTAAGAACCCTCCCAGGTAAAGCCCCAATTTGGGGGGCTCACTTGCCCTGTATCAGTATGGGTTAGTTCAGCTCAGCTGCTTCAGTGAGCACATTCTTGGTCCTATCTATCTCAACTGCACGTATGTAGACTCAACCACTGTCGGTCTTTTTCTAATCCAGTGCTCTCTTATCAATTGGCTATATCAATTGGCTATATATCAATCTCCTATACCAGGAAAGAGCAACTTCTTTGGTACGGAGTGCTTCCCAACAGCCATAGATATGATATTTTAGGAGACAAGACAAAATTAAGAAAGAGGAGGGTAAAAAATAAAAATGAAAAGAAGGAAAGACAGAGACAGCCAGAAAAAGTAATATAAAGGGAGACAAAAAGAAAAGTTTTGGCAAAAATAATTACCTTCATTAGTGTTGTAGATCTCTTAATTCCTACCTTCATCCTTCAGAAATTAATTGCTGTTGCTTTGAAACTGAAGTGATAAAAAGTTAACATGGGGAGTATAATATATTGTCATCTACAGAAACGCAGTTTCCACAATAGTTTCTAGTTTTCATAATGAGAAAGCCTATAAAGATTCACAAGGCCCTTCTAAGCTAAAACAGCAAAGAATGGATTTTGCTTACAATTAGTTTGTTCGCTGCCTCTTTAATCTTGTCCACTTTGGCTTCTGAGAGTCCTTTGACATTGCATAGTGCTCTTCTTGTTGTCATCTGTATCCCTTTGATGGTACAGATTCCTACTGATTTCAGTTTCTTAATGTCAGCCATGTTCTGTAAATTAAAGAATGGGCACAGTAGACTGATGATGCCAGCCTGAAAGGCTCCCATACTATGTCATGTGTTTCTGTGTCCATCTCCTTCCACCATGATGCCAATTTTATACAAGCAGCCAGGTGGAATCCACCCACCATGTAGCCAAATGTTCTGGAAATATCTGAGTAGAACATACTCAGCAGGCTGCCAAATGTTCTGACTGTGCCCTGATTTCCCAAAAATGTTAGTGAGACCATGGCAATGTAACAAAGAATTCAAAAGAAGAGTCTGTTGGTAGAAAAGCTAACAAATTTGTCACACATTCACCCCCTCAGTTCAGCTCCTTCCTTCTACAGAACTTCATTACCAACATGTTCTTTTAAATTTTTAAAGATTTTTTTCCCTCCGCCTATGGAGAATGCAAATAACTACATCACCAAAGGACCAGGATTTTCTCTTGCATCTATTTTCTAAAACCACTAAAAGAGATTAAATGTGAGGGCTACAACAGATAATGTCAGCACAGTTTTACTATCAACTGATTGCTGTTAAAGTCCACCCAGTTTGTTATTCAAAGTCTGGATTTCTGCCAACATCATTTATTCCAGTCATCCGACATATAGAACTTAATTTTGTCCTCTGGGTACACTTGACAATGTCTGGAGACATTTTGGTTGTCATAGCTGGAGGGGTGCTACTGGTATGTAGTGAGTGAGTAGAGGCCCTGCAATGCACAGGACAGCTCCTTGCAAAAAAGCATTATCCAGGCCCAAATGTCCATAAGGTTGATGCTGAGAAATCCTGAATCAGACAACTTAACACAGCACTGAAAAAACTACTTACAATTCCATGTTTTTGTAACAGGTCAATATCTTGAAACAAAGATTCCTAAAGAAGATGAAACAGAAAAAATGAAGTTTTGATTCTTCATATCCAGCTATTTCACATATTTTAAAGAGGTGATTCAATACTATGAGTCACTCCAAAATGCCTCAAATTCCACTTCTCTAGACAGGCTGAGGAAGGATCAATACTGTTTTTCAAACACATACTTAGAAGCACCAATATTGAAAGGGCTTTGAAGTCAATTACCTTTGTCATGTCCTTCCTGAAATTTTGAAACCTTTACCCAAAAGACTGGAACAACATTTGACCTATTTTAAATATGTTTTCTCAACCTTCTTCCCTTCCAGATCCTAAACTCCTTCCTCTAGGACAAGGCTGCTATTTGGTATCACTGTGTATAGGTACCAGTATGGCCATACCAGCTGTTAAGTTATTAAAATACTTTCATACCAGTTGCTAAGTAGCTAATCTTAGCATTCTTGCCAAAGAAGTTGTTACATATTTGCAATATATAACTATGTGTTATTTCTACTTTCAGTTTCTAAAAATATTAACTAATAGAGAAGGAACTTGATTTTTGTGGAATGACTGAATGTCTACATATCTTTCAACGTTCTAGTCATACCTCTTCATCTTGGAATCCTGGTTCTTCCACAACCTGATCCTCCTTCATATTGAAAGGTGAGCAACAGAAAAATTATCACTTCTGGGAAAATAAGAAATATATTTAAGAAGTAGTCCTCTGGGGAGAGGAGAGCGGGGGAAGAAAAAAAGTAGTCCTTTGTCCTGAGGCCTCTGATTTCATTTCAAAGTCACCAAGGACTAGAAGAGAAGTATTTAGCTTGGAAAGACTAGGCCCGCCTATCTTCTTTCTGCAAGGCATGTAGCATTATTTCTTGTGTGTATGTGTATGTGTGTGTGTGTGTCCACACACACACACACACACACAGGTGCGTGAGGGGCAAACTGGGGGGTAGTTTTTTTTTCTTTCCCCAATGGTGATCATTTATCAACTGATTTCCATTGCACAGCTAATCATGACTATGTAATATCTTTATTATTGCCTTGAGATGTTATTTAGAATTGCATATTGCTTTTAACCTTTCTGTTTTAACAACAACATTCTAAGAACTTTGACATTATATCATTCTTCCTTGTGTCCTCCCTGGCACCTCCAACTTTGTCCTCAATAAATGGATTTTATTTTTCTCATTTATGATGAATGCCTTCCTGCCTGCTACGATTATGAATGGATACTCCTGTGACATCTACCTTTTTGTTTCTTTTTAAAAAATCTTTTCATACTGCTGATAAATACCTTTCTGTTTCATAGAACATTAGCTATACTTTCTTTCACAGTATTTACTAGTTTCTTTCTTTCTTTTTTTTTTTGAGGAGTCCTGCTCTGTCACCCAGGCTGGAGTGCAGTGGCACAATCTCCGCCCACTGCAACCTCCGCCTCCCGGGTTCAAGGGATTCTTCTGCCTCAGCCTCCCAAGTAGCTGGGATTACAGGCGCGCACCACCATGCCTGGTTAATTTTTGTATTTTTAGTAGAGATGGGGTTTCACCATGTTGGTCAGGCTGGTCTCCAACTCCTGACCTCATTATCAACCCGCCTCGACCTCCCAAAGTGCTGGGATTACAGGCGTGAGCCACAGTGCCGGGCCAATTTTGTTAAGATTTTAAAATATGGTGGATACATAATATTAAAGATGATAAAGCAGTGAAAGTCTTTGATTTAACGTTGTAGACTCAAAAAGAAATCTCAGGAATCCATGAGCTGTGATTGTGCTTATTACAATAAAATGCCATCCAGGCCGGGCGCGGTGGCTCAAGCCTGTAATCCCAGCACTTTGGGAGGCCGAGGCAGGTGGATCACGAGGTCGAGAGATCGAGACCATCCTGGTCAACATGGTGAAACCCCGTCTCTACTAAAAATACAAAAAAATTAGCTGGGCATGGTGGCTCGTGCCTGTAATTCCAGCTACTCAGGAGGCTGAGGCAGGAGAATTGCCTGAACCCAGGAGGCGGAGGTTGCGGTGAGCCGAGATCGCGCCATTGCACTCCAGCCTGGGTAACAAGAGCGAAACTCCGTCTCAAAAAAAAAAAAAAAAAGGGCCGGGCGCGGTGGCTCAAGCCTGTATATGTGCTGCCGAAGCGAGCACATGGCTCAAGCCTGTAATCCCAGCACTTTGGGAGGCCGAGGCGGGTGGATCACGAGGTCGAAAGATCGAGACCATCCTGGTCAACATAGTGAAACCCCGTCTCTACTAAAAATACAAAAAATTAGCTGGGCATGGTGGCACGTGCCTGTAATCCCAGCTACTCAGGAGGCTGAGACAGGAGAATTGCCTGAACCTGGGAGGCGGAGGTTGCGGTGAGCCGAGATCGCGCCACTGCACTCCAGCCTGGGTAACAAGAGCGAAACTCGGTCTCAAAAAAAAAAAAAAAAAAAAAAAAATGCCATCCAAATAATTATTTTTCTTGGTCTATTCCATTTCCTCATTTGATACCAAAGTCAGGGGTTGGACCCTAGAACAAAGGGAACGGACCATTTTTTTTTTTTTTTTTTTTTTTTGAGCCGGAGTCTAGCGCTGTTGCCCAGCCTGGAGTGCAATGGCGTGATCTCTGCTCACTGCAACCTCCGCCTCCTGGATTCCAGCGGTTCTCCGGCCTCAGCCTCCCGACTAGCTGGGACTACAGGCGCGCGCCACCACGCCCAGCTGATTTTTTTGTATTTTAGCAGAGACGGGGTTTCACCATGTTGGCCAGGATGGTCTCGATCTCCTGACCTCGCGATGTGCCCGCCTCGGCCTCTAAAGTGCTGGGATTACAGGCGTGAGCCACCGCGCCCGGCCTCGGACGATGAATACTGAGGCAGAAGCAGGGTCCGACCACCGAGCACAGCCAACGGCGAAGGATGGAAGGCAACCGAGACCGTCTGGACGGGACCTGCGGGGATCCCGCGCTCGGCTCTATGCCTGAGCACCCCAGTTCCACGTTCACCCTCCGCATCGAAGAGAAAAGAACATCATCCGTTTCTCCTCCCCGTGATGAAATGAAAAGACTGTCGCCGTCTCTCAAGGCGCCGTCGATGGACTGACCGGTTGGCTTTAAGGGCCGCCCCGTCCCCGCGCCCCCGGTTGAAGGCCACCTCCGGAGGGGGCAGCCGCGCGGTCGGGCCGCCCTCGACGCCTGGCTCCGCAGGAGGGCCGGGCAGACCCCCGCGCGGCCGCGGACTTTTTCCTGACACCGGATTCCCTCGTCAGGGGGACGAGGCGGGCCCTCCCAGACTTAGGTCCGATTCGATTTAAAATAAGGAGGTTGGAAATCCCTCAAGGTCACTAAAATGCCTTCCCAGGGGTCGGAGCGGAAAGCTCCAAGTCACTAGGGCCCTGAAGAAGGAGCGAGACAGGGAAGCGCGCCATTTCAAAACGAGCGTCCCCTCAGAGCCTTCGCACGCTGTCCGTTTTTGCCACTTACCCCCCTCGTACCCAGTCTCCCCGAGATTTTCAAGGTGCAGCCCCTCTGCCCCCGCCCGGCCTTTCCCGGCAGTCCTCAGCTGACAGGATTCTAACTCGGACCCAGGACGCGGAGCCTGGAGACCCGCGAGCCGTTGACCTCAGGGTTTGGCGCCAACGGAGGAGGGCGGGGCGAGGACCGAGGAGGGCGGGGCGCGGACCGACGGGCTGGGCGGGGCCAGGGCGGGGCGCAGGTGAGGAGGAGGGGCGGGGGTGGAGCGGGCGTGCCCACAGTGGGCGGGGCGGAAGCCATGGGGGCGGGGCTAAGACCGAGGGGCAGAGAGGCGAACCGGCCAACAGTTGGGGGAACCCGAGGGCGTGGCCTGGAGGGGGAGTAGCGAGGAGGGAGCCGGGGCAGGGCGCAGGTTGAGGGGGCGGGGCGAGGACTGAGGGGAGGGAAACGAGGAGGAGCCTCCTTCCGGGTGGCGCGCTGGGGTGGGAGTGAGGGAGGGGCGCTGTGGAGGAAGCGCGCTGAGGGGAGGAACCTTGAAGGCAGGAGACTGTCGAGCTGGGGCGTCTCTCGAGGTGAGCACCTCGCTAAAATTAGGGAGAGGACTCTGAGGCGAGGGTTCTGTGGAGGAAGCCTTGGAGCCGGGGAGGGGCGCTGAGCAGAGGCGGCTGACGTGTGCGGAAGGGCAGGGTCTCGAGGGATGGCAGACGGAGCCTCGGGTTAGGAGTTCGAATCCAAGGTCCTTTTTATGAGACGGAGTTTCACTCATGTTGCCCAGGCTGGAGGGCAATGGCGCGAACTTGGCTCACCGCGACCTCCGCCTCAACCTCCCGAGTAGCGGGGATTACAGGCACCCGCCACCCCGCCCGGCTAATTTTGTGTTTTTGTTGTTGTTGTTGTTGTTGTTTTTGTTTTTGAGACGGAGTTTCGCTCTTGTTACCCAGGCTGGAGTGCAATGGCGCGATCTCGGCTCACCGCAGCCTCCGCCTCCTGGGTTCAGGCAATTCTCCTGCCTCAGCCTCCTGAGTAGCTGGGATGACAGGCACGCGCCACCATGCCCAGCTGATTTTTTGTATTTTTAGTAGAGACGGGGTTTCACCATGTTGACCAGGATGGTCTCGATCTCTCGACCTCGTGATCCACCCGCCTCGGCCTCCCAAAGCGCTGGGATTACAGGCGTGAGCCACCGCGCCCGGCCTGTTTTGTGTTTTTAGTACAGACGTGGCCAGGCTGGTCTCGAATTCCCGACCTCGGGTGATCCGCCCCCCGGGCCTCGCGGAGCGCTGGGAGGACGGCGTGAGCCGCCCAGCGCGGTGCCCGGGCTTCCGTTCTCACGCCTGGCGTCCGTTTGGCGCCGCTGCCTCGGCGCTCCTCATTTCCCGCTGTGACTCTCGCCATTTGCCGCTCTGGTCTGTGATTGAGACACCCAAGGCCCATTCAGGATGGAGAGTAATTTTTCTCTGTCTTCACTTGAAGTTTTAAATAGACCGCAGACGCCAGGCGTATTTTGGTTCAGCTTTTAAATAGAAGTTGCGGGCCGGCCTTCGTGCCAGCAGCGCCATTGCTGGCAGCGCCCTCCTCCTCCCCTCACGCGGAGACTGACTTGAGAGTCAGGAAACGTTTGCGAGAGCAGCTGCTAAGGTGGAGGCTGCGAGGTAACTTGGATGAATCTCTGCGCAAACAGTTTTTTGGGTTCAAGACCTAGTACAGAGCGACCCCCTCCCTTTTTTTTTCCTGGCTGAATCATTTTGCTGGAATAAATAGCAAAACATTCCCACAATAGCAGTTGACATTTGTGTAGGACGCGCCCCCTCTCCCCACCAGGTGGATTGTTTCAAGAGCCAACACATAACCGCCATTGTGCTTCCAAATCTGCTATTTTGCCCCGAACGTAGCCATCCTCATGGTATGGAAATGAATGCCCATTTAGGGAAGGAACTGGATGGTTTCACTCTGAGGCCTCACCTAAGGAATTATGGGAACTTTTGAACGACTTGTTAGGTGAAGATATCAACAGTCTACAGAAGAGCTGCAAAGAGCACAGCGAGATGATTTAGGGAAATCTAACATATGTAGTTTGGTGTAGTGACAGCTGGGAGAGAGAAATGTTCATAATATTTGAAGGTTGTGTGCAGTACACTTAAAGAAACCAAAATGAGCCGGGTAATGACAAATTCATGAAGGGAGGAGAAAAGTCCTGTTTGAGTACCTTATCGATAGACAACTTTTAAAATATTTAAAACAACAAACTCTGGGACAGTTTAAAGTGTTAAACAGTGCACATGAGAAGCTTTCCACTCAAATCGGGACCCCCCAAAAATTAGTCTTTCATATCATACAAAAATTCTGAGTATCATGAAGGTAGCATTTCAAATCAGTAGGGAAATGACGAATTCAGTAGATAGTGTTAGAACAACTAGGTAACCATCTGGAAGAAAAAATAAAATTGGAATCATGCTTTATACATTATACCAAAATAAATTCCAGATGGATCAAAAAATTATATCTGAACAATAAAATAATAAAAGTACTAGAAGAAAATATGGGACATTTAAAATTACTTTATAATAAGGAACATCTTTTTAAGTATGATATGAAACTCAGAAGCCGCAAGACTGATAAGTATGCTTATATTAAAAAAAGAAAAAATCCTATATGGCAAAATGGTATTTCCTATCCACAATATAGAACATGGCAAACCAGAACCTTTGTGTCAATTATTAACTGAGTAATATAGCTTGCCTTATTTTTCAAATCCTTCAGGAAGTCCACAATTTCTCTATACAATTTTAAAATTTTTGTATCACTTTTATATTTTAAGAAATAAAAAAATTGGCAGTGGGATTACAGTTAAGACCTGAATTTTAAACCATTACACTTTACTGCCCCTCCGTGGACAGTCACCTTATAACCAAATAGACGCACAGGATTCCAGCGAATATAGTTGGGCTTCTTCCCAGTGATGCTTGCGGATACATATTCTTGAAAATTCAAGAGCTTGAATTTGATAAATGATTTAGTAGAAAAATAAAGAATGAAGGCTCATCATGTACAAATTTCACTGGGTATATTTCCTCTTAAACATATTTGTTTGTTTTGCTTTTTGTTTTTGAGTCAGGGTCTTCCTCTGTCACTCAGGCTGGAGTACAGTGGTAACATCTTGGCTCACAGCAGGCTTAATCTTCTGGGCTCAAGTGATCCTCCCACCTCAGCCTTCCCAGTAGCTGGGCCTACAGGCACAAGCCACCACACCCAGCTAATTTTTTGGTATTTTTTCTTAGAGAAGTGGTTTCACCATGTTGCCCTGGTCTCAAACTTCTGGGCTCAAGCAAGCCTCCCACCTCAGCCTCCCAGAGTGCTGAGATTACAGGCGTAAACCACTGCATCCAGCACTGTTCCACGTCTTTATCTTCATTTTCAAATAATTCCTGTTCAAGAATAAGGTACCTGTATCCTATTGCTGAGACCTGTACCTCTTAGTGCTCTTCTCCTGGCTACCTAAAGGTTTAAAATAACTGCTGTTTGTAAAAAGTCGATTAAAATTTTAACCTAGGGCCTTATATTATTCACCTCCAGTTACAAGAAGGAATACAGGGTGCTGTAGGAACACATGGGAGGGACATCTTATTCAGTTTGTGGGGAAGTAAGGAACACGGCATTTCAGCTGGTATCCATGAGTAATTTGTTAGTCAGGTAACAAGAGGGAACAAGTACTAACTTAAGACAGTGCATTTAGCTGGAGCGCAATACTTATCTGTAGAATGAATGACTGACTATTAAAACACCTCTTACATTCTCCAAGCTTTTTTTTTCTCAGTATTCTAGTTCCATCAATCTTGTCATGCTTTTTCCCTTGTACTTCTAGTTTATATAGACATTTCAAATATTGTGTTTCTTGCCTCCGCAGAGGGAATATTCTGAAAGATACTAATTCTGCAGTGTGAGGATTTGCGTTAATCTAAATGAGTTTACCGTAGATTTACAGGAAAAACAAAAAACAAAAAACAAAAAAACAGAAAAGTAGAAAGAAAAAAAAAATCTGTAGGATTACAAACCAAAAAATAAAAAAAACCAAAGTTCCCATCTTTATTCAAAGTATTAACAAAAATAAAAGGCAAAAGTTGTGTATGTTTTTGTATATCTGTTTCTTCTCTTTTCTTTTTCTTTTTTTTTTTGAGATGGAGTCTCACTGTTGCCTGGCTGGAGTGTGTAGTGGCACGATCTCGGTTTACTGCAACCTCCAACTCCCTAGTTGGAACGATTCTCCTGCCTAAGCCTCCGGAGTAGCTGGGTTACAGGAACACACCACCATGCCCAGCTACTTTTTGTATTTTTAGTAGAGACAGCGTTTCACCATGTCGGCCAGGATGGTCTCTATCCCTTACCTCATCATCCGCCTGCCTCAACCTCCCAAAGTGCTGAAATTACAGGCGTGAGCCACAGCACGTGGCTGGAAAGACAGATTTTATACAAAGAGGCAGGGTCTCACTATTTTGCCCTGTTTGGTCTCAAACCCCTGGCCTAAAGCAATCCTCTTGCCTTGGCCTCTCAAAGTGCTGGGATTACAGGTGTGAGCCACCATGCCTGACCTGTTCATTTTTTAACAAAGCTTTATTGAGGTATAATTGACATATGAGAAACAGCACATATTTAAAGTGTGTTTAGGTATGTATACACCCATGAGCCCTTCACCACAATCAAGATAGTGGACATATCGGTCACCCCCAAAAGTTTCTTTGGGCCTCTTTGTAACCCCTTCCAACTTACCTCCTAGCCCCTCTAGCTATCCCTCCTGTTCTTTAGGCAACTGTGTGTTCTAAAACAGACAATTCATCATCAAGTCATAAGCAATTCAAAATCAGGACTATAGCATTTTAAAATACTTCATCGTTTCCAGTTTAATATCTGAATTTTTCTTCTTCCATGCTGAGAATATGAGTTTTCAGCAACACTAGGAATGACAGAATTAGAATATCACACAATTACTCATTTGCTTTATCCCACATTACAGCAAATACTTTTTAAATATTACTTCTCTTTGATGCTCTACCCCCCTTCCTTTATAAAGGGCAAATAATTCATCTCCATAATTTTCCTTTCTAATATTTACAAAGAGCAGAGACAGGATTTTTCATCTTTGTAACATCCTGAGAGGCCTACCGTTCTGCATCCTCAG